GTGTGTGTGTGTGTGTGTGTGTGTGTGTGTGTGTGTGTGTGTGTGTGTGTGTGAAGAGAGAGAGACTTGTTCCTCTTATATGGCATATCCTTCTCAGCTACCGTGAGACGGCCGCCCGCCTGTCCCGTCTGCACCGTGACCAGCCCCAGTCACCCATGGAGCGGGCCGTCTGGTGGATAGAACACGTCATCCAACACGGCCGGCTGCCCCATCTCCGCGCACGCGCCGTGGAGCTGCCGTGGTACCAGTACTACCTGCTGGACGTGGCTGCGTTCCTGCTGTCCGTCTGTTCAGCTGTCCTGGGGACCGTGTGGTGCGGCTGTTCGCTCGTCTGTAGGAAGTGTTGCGCCACTAAAGGTGGCGGCAAGCTGAAGTCTCAGTAGACACCTCTGTCTCTGACATTTTGTAAATAAAACCATGGATAGGATGATTTAATAGACAAGGGGCCACTCAGTATACACAAATAAAGAGATGTAGTGTGACTCAGGGCATACGTAAAGAGTTGAGATTTGAAATAAAGATAAATGTGTTTTAAAGTGCTTGTTTTTGATGGCTTCACCTTATAGAAACATCATTTGCTGGTCCCTCCCAGTAAGCATAAACCATCGAACTACAACCTGCTTGCACCGACAAGTCTTCAAAAGAAGATATATGAAAGAACAAACTATGCTCTCTGTAACATGCTTTCATTGCAGTTTATGGCACGTACGCTAAGTTCAAATAACAAGTGCCTTCGGGAAGGAGGGTCTATCCTCGCTCCGGACGGAGTTTAGCTCACGGTCCGTTTAATTGATTTTTCTGTTTGATATTCAGTATGTGGTAGCTATTGAAGTGCCAAAGGAACACATGCAATTGTTTGGCATACATCACTTTAAACTTGTTGTAAAATGGAACTTTTTGTCCGCCAGGCTGCATAAATGAGGTGACGTAATACACACGCAAACTTCAGCACCAAGGGTAGGGCCAGTACGTCAAAAGACATGAAAAAACTCTTTTAAGTCCAAGCCTTGCCTGTGGGCGATTTGTGTATGTAGAAAATATGATCGTATGAAAAATATTATTTCTTCAAATCAATTTCTTGTTTTGATTTTCAATATAACCCTATCAGTATTGTAATCAGCTAGCAAAAAGGTATGGACGCAAAGCATTTAATATTCGTTTTGGCTGAAGATACAGCCCACCTAACACAGGACACAGAGTAAAGCAAAATCACAACCGCTTGCCATACTTTCCCTACAATATAACTTTATTGGACACATTTTCTCTATTGCAACATACTAAGATTGAATAGCGCAGGCAGTTCTAAACTGCACTGGGCTATTTAGTCATATATATAAACCATATTTACACATCTCGATATCTCTGCAAATAGCTTCATCTAGTAGGTAAATCATTTGTTAACAAAGTTCTTTGCACACAACCAGTATATACATATACATGGACATTGTACTATACAGTAAGTCTTGAAAATTTGTGGATCAGTTGCAGTGCTTTTATTTTTGTAGTTTTCAGTTCCTCTCTACTGCAAAATCATGAAAGGTGTACATTGAGCATGTTTTTGTACTTCAGAATTGTTAAACACTGCAAAATTTTTTTTCCAGTCCTACCATGAAATTTAGACCCTGCAAAAATAAATGAATTTACAGTACAATGTAGTTGCAGTATGAAATACTTTTATAGAACAAGTCAGTATTGCCTCAAAACTTTTGGCAGGTTATATACTGGTTGTGTGCTTAGAAATTTGTTTACTACATCACAATATCCTTTGGCAAACAGTATAGGAAACTACAATGTCCATAAGACTATCTTGAAGCACACAAAAGGCCACACCGTCCATACAATAAAAAAGCAAACTGAAATGCAAATTGTACACAATAGGAAAAACTTTGAAAACAGATGACAGAGCCAACATTGTACAAGAAAGCATTACAAAGCATATGTGCATTTTAACAGTCAATGAGATATAAATTTACAAATGGAACACAATATGGTATAATTACATGGTACATAACCCTTATTACTAGACATGAATTCACATAAGAATTCAACAGATGAAATGGCATGTACATGGTAAAAGCACATTGAAACAACACCTGTTCGTTATATCTGTTTTTTGTCCACTGATACCAATCTAAGGCAAAAAATACTACATGTAGTACCAAAGATCTGAAACTGCTAACAAGTGGAAGGTTATTGAGAATGGGCGTTAGAATAAATTGAATTGCAGGCAATAACGAAGTCCTGCACATCTTTTACACTGCCAACACTGTTCATTCATTCATTTCATTTATTTTACAAGCAGATTACACTTTGGTCCGTGTCCCTGGGTATATAAAAAAGCTTACACACAGACATAAGAAAACATAAAATTAACATGGTCTATGATATATCTAAAATGCATGGTCTAAATACCAGTTGAGATTACAAATTACCCTTGTTGATGAATAAAAATACATTACATTTCCAGACATCTCTGTGGGAATGAATTGAAGAGATCCATTTTGTCCATAAGGACAAGAATACAAGAACATGTACAAATGTATTTCAGCTAGTCATAATGTTCACAACCATTTGGTCCAAAGTAAGACCTCTTTATGCCCCCTTGCAGTTGTCAAATGAACAACAAGGCACACTAGATTACCCTGCATTAGATGAGTCAAGTTTTTTTCTTAAAAATAACCCATTTCATGCCTCATATTCTATGCCTCAGTCTCTGAGGTGAATCCTAGGCAATGATCTGGCAAGTTGAACTAATGTAAACTGATCCCAAATGATCCTACTTTAATTTACTTGCAGTAATTTGCAGCACAGGTTTTTGTACTAGGAAACTTTATGTACAAAATTTTCCACGTTTTATAAAATTGATCTGGAGACCTAGAAATATACATGTATTCCAATATGCATCAAAAGTACTTCTCACTTTGCTTGCTTGTGAATCACTATAATTTAGTCATAACTCTTTTAGAGTTTTAACAATCTCTGATTTTTTAAAAAGAATCTTTTGGTCCTATCTCTCTCTCTCTCCAGTTAAAAGCTTAGTAAAACTGCATTCAATTCTACTGTTTTGACTTCTGTCTAATATAGAATCCTGATTTCTTGTCATTAGTTTCCATCCTAATTCTACATGGCAACACATGTATACTCGTTTCTGGATGTCACTTTTATCTTTTTAGGAACGGCAATGTTGAACGGTAAATTTAGGACGACCAGCAACGTTTGAAGGTAGATTAACGGCAACGCTCAATGATCCTGACTACATGACATGTGTGGATGTCACCTGTGTATAGGAATGGCAATGCTCAACAAATGGTAAACTGAGGTCAAGTACTAGTAGTGCTTTTACCTTTCAAAAGGTAGACTAAAGGCAACTTAACAGTAAATCTGCCTACATGACGACACATATCTTGGACTCATATTTGTGGATGTCTTGTGTTTTCATTGAGGAATGTGAATGCTTATTAATTAATCAATGGTGAATTGAGGACGACAAGTAATGCAGTAGACTAACAGTAAATCTGCCTACATGACGACACACGTCCTGGACTCGTTTCGTTCCTGACTGCGCGACGTGGCCATGTCTCTCTCGTGTTGCTCCTGAGCCTCTCTACTCTGCTGCTTGGCCAGTTGGAACAGGGCCTCCTCCCTAAAAGAGACAAAACAATTACCTAAAGTTCTACTTGGATGTCAAACCTTGATTGACGTATTCTAGTATATTGTCTAGTTTGCATGAAAGTTCAACTGAGTTGGTGAGAGACGGGGTGGTACCAAATTCTGACATACTTTGACCCAGTGCTGACATCACAGGTGCGAAAAAATTATGAGAATACAGTTTACTTCTCATTAGGTATTGTCAGCATGTTGGCAGAACATACTGCACCTGTGCGAAACCCGTGATGTATTGTGCATAGCGCTTCGGCAGAACGTCTCATATAAGGTCGTATATAGGGTTAACATCCCATCTGTAGTTTCCAAATGTTAATATATAAGACATTATCTGCAACAGGAAAAATTCTGATGCAACGTTGACCAAACATCCCACAAAAGCTGAAAAATCAGGGTTTTGTGCAGGCGCAGTATGTTCTGCCGACGTGCTGGTATTGTCTAGTTTATAACATTTCTCTGACCTGTCAGCCCTGGACACAGTCCTGGCGGGTGGAGAAGGTTGTGGAGGTGGTTGTGTCTCCTTAGCGGGGGTGCTGTGTGCCTGAGGCTTGCCCTGGAACTGCATGGTGTTCCCTCCCTGTGTGCGCACGGTCTCATACAGGTGTTCGTCGGGGTCGCTTTCCGTTTCCGACTCACTGCCTTCAGAACTGCTGCTGTCAGCAGAGGTGTCTGTACCAGGGGGCAGAAATGGAGGACAGTTAGACGTGCAATTTAGACTAAATGATGTGCAATTTAGAGTCAATGTTCTGAAGAATGAATCAATCAAAATGGTCTATTAATCAAACAGAAACTTGCAGGCAGAGGCAACACTGCAATTATTACAAAACTGTGAAGTAGAAATTCTTATTACACAATATGAAAAATTACAGCTAGAATATTTGACATTAAAGTAGTCTAAAGCTGCAATTATATGAAGATAAAAAGAGACATTGGTGGAAATAACGAGGACAGACAGACTGAAAGAAAGGCATACAGTGCAGACGAACATCCACATACATTTCCATCCTCATCACTTCTGCAAACTATCGTATCACATTCCATCTCCACGTACAACACTCAATCACAACCCTGACCTTCATCCATGCAACTCTGTGACTGCAGAAACATGAAGGTCAATCACATCAAAGAGCTTGACCTCTAACAGTAGTTTCTTACATTTTTTTTAACGAGGTTGCTCCAAAAATAAAAAGTTCCTAAAATCTAAGGTGACAATATAGCAGATTTGAACTCCGACCCAGAACCTTCAGATGTGGTGCTATGACTTGACCTCCGACCTCCTGTGTCATCACAGTGTGACCTGAGGAGGTCGTGACCTGCCCTCTGCCCTGCCCCGGTGCTGGGGTGGAACCTGACAGTGCGGTTAGTGACGGTTCTCTCCTGCACGGTGGTTTCTCTGATGGTCAGCTTCCGGCCACCTTGAGACTCCCTTCTGCCCAGGGACGGCCTGTGTTTGGCCAGTTTCTTTTGGTGCACAAGATGAGAACAAGTTATTGAGTTGCAATCTCGTGTATCAAACCATTATGGATAGCCTTATGTTCCAACACCTCTATGTTCTGACAACTCAACCTATGTTTGACAACCCTGCTGTGAAAAAACTCAGCAAATGAATTTACTATTCTACATGTATTTATCGAAATCTTGCAGTATAACTGACAGTGAATTGCAGTTTCTTCCTCTTTGTATCAATAAAATGGTTAACCTTTAAAAAAAGCAATATTGCACATACGACTTGAGGCTACAAAGCATATATTAACTGGGAATGCTACAAAGCGTTTAATGCTTCTTTTGCTTGCTATACACTGTGAAATTAATCTGACCTAAAACATCTAAAAAGACCGGGATGCTATCCTATATACGTACCCTTCTGTGAGGGAACAGTTTAAGGTAGGTCTGCCAGAAGCGCAGTCGGGGTCCGACCTGAGGCACCAGGCTCTTCACGGCACCGTAGTGCAGTGCCAGGAAGGCCGTGCCATCTATGTCCTGTTCTGGGGGGAGCACAGTCTACTACATCAATAATGGGTACCTGACCCTCTATACACTTCTAATAATCAGCATATATGTACATATAAAACCTATGGTATATACATGTAAGTCATAGAATCTCATCAGCATAATTATAGTGGCACAAATCCTTTTTTTAGTGTTCAAAATTTTGTGCAATTCAGAAATACTGTCCTCAAATACACAAGAGAAACTAAGGCCAATTATCCACAGAGGCCGACACCATTGAACCCCTGTAGCCTGATTTTTTCAGTGTGCAGGTTAATTTTTCTACTGCAATATTGAAAATGTCTCTGCAAAATGCAGACTGCATGTGAGTATTTCTAACACTGAAATAGCTAACTTACTACAGTAACTGTACTCTTTTTCAGTATCCACTTTAACATTTTGGAGTGCATGAATGTAAAAAATAGGCTACATGTATAAGCAATTTTACTTCACTGTACAAAAATGTTCAGGCACTTCTACTGCGCATGTTGGATGACTCAACAATTATAGCACATCTATATTAAGTACTGCTGCCAGCACAAGCTAAGCTATGGATTACTTTCCAATTTGAGTAAAAAGCCGAGGTACGATCAGAAGCACGATCCTGAGATGCCACTTCAGAAACATGCGTGAACCACACAACAAAAGGACTGTATATCTACCATCTTTGAATAACCATTCTAGTCTAAGATCAACATTTTTTGTGGGAAGCAAAGGTATTTACTCAAGTCGGGCTATTACAGGGCATTAGCAGATTGGTGCTTATCTATTATTCATGAGCCGTGTAGAAATAAAGCCCAAGCTGTTTGTACATTCTCTCCAGGGACCAGGAAAACATTTAACCTTCACCCTGCTGCCTAACACTGTAAGCAATACTAGTAGACAACTGCTTGAGTTTGCTAAAGGTTAATATACATTAAATGTTGGACTGCAGCTTGGCAAAATATCTGACAATGTGTTCTACCCATAGAAACTGATATAGAAAGCAATTTCCAGAGTAACTACTTTGTAATGTTAACACCTGCAGGAATGTTAACCCTGCAGCAATTTCAATACGTAACTGTTTCTTCATTTTTTTCTTTTGACATTTTTAATTACAGCAAAGAATATCTAGTAGCAAGCAGCCTGGATTTTATTATTTCATGGGAGAAAAGCCTTTTGAGTAAGAGAATCATCACTTTTGCTGTCATCAAAAAAATAAGCCATGAGACATACTTAAGTTTATTATTAGGTCCCTTTTACCACCCTTTACATTGTACTTGAAAATGGGGTCCTATTGTGTCTACACCACATGCACAACCACATTGTCAAACAATTTCATCTGTCTACCCATATATAATCACCATAATCTACAGCACTGTACATTGAAAACTCAGTTCCAGATGATGCTTACCTTGAAATGTCGGAACCAATTCACGAAAACTGTTTTCTGACAGCCACATACAAACGTCATCCACTGACTTTCTGTAGAAATACTCTTCATGTCGACTTCTACCCTCCATCTACAGTGCCAGTTACATGTAGTTGATGTTGATTTCAGGGACTACAACATGTGACCAGGTGAGGTAAAGGTTTAAACTTAAAAGCAAGACTCATTAAACATTAATGAGTACATTACAGATAGGGAAACATTATTACCATTATGGTAGGTGTCTTATTGATTTAGTAAAGGTGCCTGTAAGAATATCATGTCGGTAACACTTGTAAGCACAAGCTCGATGGCTTACATTGGTGACAATGCCTTAATAGGTGTTATATATTACTGTGTGTAGCCCACTGTAAATTACCACGTACATGTAGTTGTACTGCACATACATCTATGTGCATGTTTCGTTCTGGATTTCGTGCAGCTGTAGTACATTCTGCTGTTTGTGTTATATATTCGGCACACATACAATATTAACACACACACACACACACATTCACACACATGCATACGCACACACACACACACAAACGCGTGCACATACGCCCACATTCAAACACACATACACGCGCACACACACAGGTAGATCCCACATTACAAGTACACATTCGAAAACTTCCACACATGAATGACACAAAAAAAAGGAGAAAAGGACAAAAGCAATTATAGAAAGATGAAGACACTAAAAAAAGTTTTGTGACGGAAAAGAAGAAGTCACAAATCATCCTGATCCACAACAAACTCAGACGCACCTGTGCCAGAAGTCTCTTCCTCTGCTTTTGGTCCCTTCTTCGCAGGCTCGGCGGGACGCTGGGCGTCCTTGTGTTTGGACGACATGGCGTACACGGGGAGGTCGTCTCCGGGCGTCGCCCTGCCGACGTCAGCGGGGGTCATGTAAGTGTTATTGAGGGAGGTGTCTAAGGTGGACATGGGGCTGTCTACAAGCGGTGGGGGCAGGGTGGGGGGCATGCTGGGCCTGCAGCGGAGACACGTGCAGCAAAAACAAAAAATAAAATAAAAATAAAAAAACAAAGCAAAAAAGAACCATGCAGGGACAGAATGGTAGAAATGTTATATTACTCTAAGACTTGTGTTCCTTTGAGCTGAAGAGACACCATTTAACTCTGTGGACATGTGACATCTACATGTGTACCTGCTTTACACTAGTGGATAAAACTCATATGTTTTGACATCCCTATGTTCTAAATGTACCTATATTCTGACATAGATAGGTTGAGTTGTCAGACATAGGGGTGCTGGAACATAGGTGTGTTCAACTACAGTAAAGCAGGTAAAGATGAGTATATCGCTTTTACAGGATTGGTGTAAAATAATCTAGCCCAATGGAACACAGAGAGTAAGCAGTTTTGTGCATAATTTTCTACTATTCTTCACTTCACAGTGGTATAGGTTACACCTTGCATTTATGAGCTAGAAAACCAAGACAAAAATATCAAAGACTTCACAAGCTCTTTTAGAGTCAAGAATGAACTGGCTGGTATCCAGTAAGAATACAAAAGCAAACATAAGTAGTGATATGGTGAAAACATCAGACAAACCATTGGTAAAAGCACTTCTAGGTGTTGGGGTTGACACTGCTACAAAAGACAAAAAAAATCACCCAGGCTGAACATCTCCTACTCACTTGGCTGTTGTGTTCGGGGTTGTTGTCTGCGTGCCGTTGAGCGCCTTCCTATACTCCTCCTTCACCGCCTCCTTCCCCTCAGTTTCACTATCACTCTCACTTTCAGACGACCCGCTGCTCGAGGAAGACAGGGCGGAAGTCTCGGAGGAAGACTGCTGCGAGTTCTGACCGTTGACTTCGAGTGACGGCACGTCCGGGTGACGCCTGTCTTGTGCACTTCCCTTGACACCTTCCCCAGTCTTCCCTCTCCTGGTGGGAATGACGTCATCATAGTCGCCCTCCTCCCTGTAGCTGGAGTTCTTGCCTATAGGATGCTTGCCTCCCTCGTAGGACAAGTCTGGTTCGTCGTAGGCGGTGCTGGGTCTGTGGGGGCTGGCCTTGGCAGGCTCGTGCTCGACGGTGGCCACCGTGGAGGCAGACGACGGGTGGTGGCCATTGTTTCTCGACTTCTTCTTGTTCTTGTCGTAGAAGGAGAGGTCTTCGTCGGAGTCGTATTTGCCGATGCCGAGAGGGACCGTCTGCAGGTGGACATGGGAGCCCTCGGTGGAGTTGGAGAAACTGCGTTCCCTCTTTACGTATCTCTTAGGTTTCCTGCCAGAATATAGAAACATGGCTGTTAGGGATAGCAGACTTCAACCAATACATACACAGAATTCACACTCATACATACAAATTTTCAATTTGCATGGTCTATATAGGAAAGGCAGGAAAGGTCTACATGGTTAAAGTGACAGCACATCATGTGTAGAAAACAGTGAAACTTTAAATTTGATACACTTCAAAAGCTGCTACAAGACTTTCTAACTGGGTGACACAATTGCACTTGCACACTTCAGTTAACTTAAAAGGAACAAGCAAACAAACAAAAAACTTGCCAACCTTTTCCCAGAGTCTGTCTTGGCATATTTCTTGTCCCTGCCAGTGTCAGACCTGGGGGACTCTGATGTGATGGACTCGTCCACGTGATGGGCTACGGAACCGTTCTTACTCTGGGATGACACTGGCCTCTTTTCCTGCACGGTCCAGACAAAATACAGACAATGTCAACTGTCAACAACAACATTTAACACACACATACATACAAAAAAACAACTAAACAGGTTTCAACTATAACTTTCTGTTAAAAAAGTTAGATACTATAATTTAATTTAAAGCATGAAATTTTCATGGCAATTTGATATCTATGGCGACCTGTTTACTGCCTAGTCATGACACAAACATTTCTCAATGACTATACAACTGCTTCAACCACAAACTTAAAACACTGTGAAAACACTACTTTTCCTTCTCACTGTGAAATAAAACCACCAATGTGAAAATAAAATGAATTTAAAGAAGTACCAAGCTGGAAGTGATTTTCCTCTCCTTCCCAGGATGCCTTGGGCTGTCGCCAACCTTGAGCTGATACTTCAGGGCGTCTGTTAGTTTACCCACGATCCTCTCCTGCGCCTGGCTGTTTGGGTCCTTCAGTCGCGTCAGGAGAGCTAGAGCCTGGTCAAGTGCAAAATTTCACGTGTTAACAACACTCATCAATGTGGATTAGTCTTAGCCAGTCCATACTCGTACAAATATACATTTAACAGACCAATCATACAGTCTTGTCCACCTCTATTAGAATTTTGAAATGTAAGACAAAATTGGGAATGCATCCATTTGATAAACTAATATCCACATCCTTAACGGTAAGTTAACCGAAGTGAGGTACTCATTTTCACTTGACTGAAATTAGGGAATAGTGTTAAGTGCCTTTGTCAAAGGCAAAACATTGGGACCTGCTATGGATTTGAACACAGAACCTTTAGATAATCTGGGTCGACAACCCAAACCACAAGACCATTATGATGATGTTTACCTGTTTGTAGCTGATTATTGCTTTCTCAGGGTTGCCCAGCCTGAAGTGGACTGCTCCCAGCCCCTCGTGGGCCTGCCACTGACCATGCTTGTCCCCTGTTCACAATAAACATCCATTGTTCAGGAAAATGTATCTAAATCAACAGCAAGACATTTTTTAAGAAACAAAACAGCAAAATATTCTGTGCAACTTTAGAAGCATAATTATTATGTTACTGACATGAAATGATGTCTCAAGACCTCTCCTTGTTTAAAAGAGAAATCAGCAGCAAAATCTTAATCAGAAACTATTGTTCGGAAATAGAGAGGTCAGCACTTTGCATGACAGTTCTTTAGTATGTTGTCTTCCTTTTTTCTGAACATTTCTTCCAGTTAACATTTTTTTCCTGCTTTTGTTGCTATCTTTAGTTTTTTCTTTAACATTTCTTCCATTCCCATTTCTTTTACATGTAGTTCACATTATACGTTTCTTCCTAATTTTGTTTTTCCTTTTACTGTTTCCCTGTCATACCTGTGTCCTTGGCCGCCTGTAGTGCATGTAGAAAGGCCTCCCCTGCGGCATCGTTGTCGTTAACCTGGCTGAAGGCGTAGGCCAGGTTACAGAAACAGTGGCCCTGGGCCTGTCTGTTCCCTAGGTCATCTGGAAGGGAATCAATAACAGTTACCACCAAGAAAAGGAACATGTCTGTTCCCTAGGTCATCTGGAAGTCAGTCAATAACACTGTTACCACCAAAAAAAAAACTTAAAGTTTTGCCTCATTGCAATTCCAAGTTCTAACCTTAACCAGATCAATTTTATATCATCATTTTTCTATCAATCTCTCGTGAATTTTTTAATGAAACACAAGATGCCACACTTTTGCTGAAATCCTGTATCATTAAACTATTCATTAGCCACTGCCTCCAACAAAGAAGTGAATCTCTTCAGTAATATGTACTTCACAGTACTTATAATCATGTTAGATAGATCTATAGACCTCTTCACCTTAATATACTAGTAGTATCTAATAATAGTATGTGTTCCCTTGAAATTGGCCTTTGGGCATGAATTTGCATATAAATATTAAAAACATATTTCCAGAAGTTCTTACTGTGTAGTTTAGCTGCTGACTCGTGGAAGTGTATGGCCCTCTGGTACTCCCCACAGGAGTTGTACACGGCCCCCAGGTTCTGTAGGAGCACGGCCTCGCGCTTCCTGTCTCCATTAGGTCCTCTGGTCAGGGGCAGGGCCAGCTCAAAACACTCCACAGCCTTGCCGAAGGCCTTGGCTGACGTGTAGGTCATCCCCAGGTCATTATACAGTTTACCTGTGGAGGGAAATGTAAAGAACAGAAGCATTCAGTTACTGTAAATTTCCAAATATAATGTTTGCAGTGATTTTATTTTTGTGGTTTTCCAAGTGATGTCTCAATTGTTTAAACAACAAGCTTCAGGCACCAAAAACAGCACCAAAAAAAACAGCCACCTTGAAAAACACTCTAGAGCAGTAACCCCTAGTTTACGGTTTAGACAGGAGTGTATTATACTCAGGAACATTGTCTATCTCTTTCGACTAATTTTTTCAAGGGTAGCAGATATGTGACCTGGCAGAATTATGTTGGTGGATGTTAGAATATATCAGTTAAAAGAACATGTATGAGAACATATTATTATTATTAAAAAGTCCTTACCCAACACTTCCCCCTCCTCCATGTTCCCACAGACTTCCCGACATCTATCCAGTGCCTCTTCGCACTCCGGCACCCTCCTGGACTCCAGCAGGCACGTGGCCTGGAAGTTCAGCGCCAGGGCCTGCCTCTCCACGTCCTCCGCTCTCTCGTACAGCGCCGCGGCCTGCCCGTGGCACTTCGCGGCCTGCGACGGCTTGTTCAAGTTCGTGTACGTGAAGGCGAGTTTGGTCAGGGCCTCCCCCTCCATGAGAGGGTTCCCGCCGTCTTTACCGTACGCCTCTATCGCCTGCTCGTAGTACCGGATCGCTTCGTCGTACCTCCGCATCTGGTCGTACCCGAGGCCCAGGTTGTAGTACAGGTCAGAGTTTGACTGTTGTTCCTTTTCGTTGTCGTCTTGCGGCAGGGCGCGTTGTAGGAGTTCGAGCCCCCTCTGAGGCTGGCCCATGGCGATGTACACTGCACCCAGGTTGAAAGCACATGCCCGCTCTGTGTACTTCTCTTCCAGGAGAACCGATTTTTCGTAGGCGGCAGCGAACGCCTGCAAGGCCTTGTCCTGTTCACCCCTGTTCAGCTCTTCATTCCCCTGCTGAGTGCATTTGTCTATCTCACTACTCAGGGAGCTAATGTCCTGTGGGAGTGGCATCTTCATGGTATTACTCAGGCTTCACTCTGCACCTGTGTTGAAGGATAAAATCGTATTCGATTCAGATTTTTCATGAAAGCAAAGGTTAGAACTCGTGATTGAATTATAAACATCCTAGAACTCAGTGGGTAAAATTTGGGGCTATCACACAGTCAAACCCACTTCGTCGGTTTCATGAAAAAAAATCTGACAACGAAGAAATCATGCTTGACATTATTTATGAGTAAGAAAAATGTCTCCCTCTAGGTCTATATGCAAACATCTAAGTCCTTTGCTCATGGGACTTCAAAAGCTGCACTACATGTACGTTGGCACTCTAATTGTGGTTGCCATGGCACCAGTTTGCTTTGTCACACCTGACCTTGAGGACGTGACCTAGCTTCGTGAGTCAGGTGGGAGAAGTGCAGAACGGCAAACCCTGTATCCTAGCAACAGCCAATCAGAGCCTAAGGACCTAAATCTGCTTCTGTTGTTATTCTAAGAAGAACCCACAAGAAAGTCAAGCTGCATAGATCAAATCTTCTTGTGACCTTTTCTTGCATGCAATGATCTTTTGAACATCAGTAGGTTTGAAGATAAAAACATGGGAACTAGAAACAAAGCTCAACCAAGCTTAATAATGAACTTTGCTCTCGTACATGTAAGTCTATTGACACAAATTTGCATCACTTGGGAACAAATCAATATGCAAAAAAACAATGTTGTCACTTTATAACCTGAATGATCAAAGGAGAGCCTTAGTCAGAACAGACTGTCTATGTACTGTACAGCTTAAACATTACTGCCAAAGATCAATTATAACACAGCATGTTTTATAAAACGGCACTGTTCTCACAACAAAAAGAGTATAGGGACGCCCTGTTCCCCGAAACAGGTGGTTGTATGTACCATCCGGGAGGAACTTGATACAATTTCCCTTTGGTCCTAAGAATTACTTTGCCCCCAGCCAGCTTGATCTAGTTTACTCCACTGATCAAAAGAACTCATTGTTTGGGTGGTAAGGGCAGACACCTGAGCACAAAGGCACCCAGGTAATGTTATCTTTAGAACAGGGCCATGCTGGAATGTGGTACTGGGAGGTGCAGAGTTTTCATGCCTGGTAGACTAAATCATAGCAAAATCTGACTGTGTCTACTGAGTATACACAATTATAAGGTTGCCAATGTGACCAAGAAATAACAAATTGTGTTCTGCAGAATGGTGACGAGTGACATGGCACGATTCACAAGTCATTTTCATAATAACGTTGTGAAGAAACCTGTTCAAATGAAAATATTTTTTCACTTTACCACGATATTGGCAAAACGTACACGTATTGGAGCAAAACATTTACTAATTGTAGATCTTGAAATGAAAATCAGACTGCCAAACAATAAACGGTTTTCACTCTTGGAGGGCCAGTCAAATAAACAGGAGCCAACAAGTCAAAACTGGAAGTCGACATGTTTGATCTAGTACAGTGCTACTGAAATCATGGCTGAAACTTAGCACATCCTACTTATGGATTTCTGAATCTACCGAGACAGGGAGGCAAGGAGTCAAAACAGTGGACAAAGAAAGTGATCAGTGCTACTGCAGTATCAATCAATAGGAATAAACGAACAATAAAACCTCGGTTGACATGAAATATGCGAATCGATCACAAGTAGACCGCACTCGCACACGACTCTATTTTCAACAAATTTCCACAACAACATGACAATCGGCAGCAGTAAACACAACTCACCTAAAATGTGGTAGTTCAGACGATCATCTGGTCTCAAAAGGATGCTACTGAAGATCGATTAATGAGGTGAAAAGGTGTAAAACTGTTGCACTACCACCAGTGGGTCACCAACATGTTACAGGTTGTTTTGTCTCTGCGTGACGTAGTAGGTTGGCAACGCAAGAGGGAAAAATCTTTAACACTATAGGGGAGTCCATCGTTTCACTTTTTTGGACAACTTTGTCACGTGCAAGATTTTGCAATTTTAATACAGTAGCTATCTACTACCATATATCTACTGCTCATTACGATGTAAACGTTTTGAAACATTTTATAGGAAACAGACGCCGACATCTGATGTTAACGGTTTACCCCCACCTGCAGGTTGACAAGCGAGCTGCATGGTGGGTAATATCCAAAATGGCTGCGCCCTGTGAAAAAATCGAACGTTCCAGGCGAGGATGAATTTGCTTCAAGTTTTCAGTCACTTACAGACAAGAGGGGTTGTAGAAATTGCGTTACTTGATCAAGCATAGAACACCGAAACAGAATTTGAATGTCTTTTCCCTTGAGCCGAAACGGGAGCGAAGTTATCGGGCGATACACTCGGTACGTTGTTGCACACCCTCCCCAGTTACTGGGTCTAGTGACACGTGAAAGTTGTAAGGGAACGTTGTAAGCGGTCTCTATCTGGTTGTTTTGAAGAGACACTGTAAAACATGACAGGAAACAAAGACACGAATGCCGGAGGAAGCGCGGCGTACCAAAAAGCTTACTTCAACACGCTCACACACTACTTGGACGAACACGTCAATGCAGTACGGAATGTGTCCACCGTCCTGGCCATAGCTGGGGTTGCTTTCGCCGCTCGAAGTGTCCGCATGTTCACCAAGTTCTACACAGTTGCCGACATTCCTCCGCACTTCATCCAGAAGAACCTAAGACTGCAGGGGAAGGTGGTCCACGTTAGAGACCAGCATCTCCAAGTCGAACACATCCCCATTCTCCACATCAGAATACCCTTTCTGATGAAGAAAGCCGAAGGCACCCTAGGTGCAGGTAAGCCGAGGTACGGGAGGTGGAGAGTTTCCCGTGCGGGAACTGTGCCATGTAGGAGGCACAGTTCCCGCACGGGAAACTCTCCACGTGGAGCCACGGACTCCCGTCCGGGAGATTCACCTCTCTGGAGCGACAGTGCGCGCCGATGTGTTTTCATTACTCAGTTGCCAAATGGCAAGCACGGGAACGTCACCATTTCGGGCCAACATCGCGTAACGGGAACGTCACCATTTCGGTACGACATCGCGCGATCGGGAACGTCACCATTTCGGGCCAATATCGCGCGTTCGGGAATTTCACCATTTTGGGCCAAATCGCAACTCTTACACAAAACTATTATATATTAAGCAAAACGGCGCATTTCGAAACCACAAACGCACATTTTCTTTCAGATTTATGTATGGGTACCTTTTCCCTGCATAGTAAATACCATACATTCGTGGGTATTTACGGTAGAAAACCAATTTACTATTATGGAGGTAGCGTTAAA